CTGGTCCGCAGCTTTCAGGACCGGGCAACTCCAATATGTGGGCGCAGTTGTATACTGTGCCCAATGTTTATTCCCGCTACGGATACCCACCTCTGATTAATTAAGGAGATGTGCCAGCATGCCCGGTTTGGCCATCAACTCGGCGCGCCTTAACCAGACCCTTGATGAGCTGGGCAAGTTCGGAGAGACACCTGAGGGCATGGACCGCCTGGCTTTCTCGCCGGCCGACATCGAGAGCCGCGAGTACACCATGGGTCTTTTGCGCGAGGCGGGCCTGGAAATCCGCATCGACACAGCCGGCAACATCATCGGCCGCAAGCGGGTCCGACGACTCGCTGCCCGCCATCGCCATGGGGTCGCATACTGACACCGTGCCATTGGGCGGCAAGTACGACGGGGCCCTTGGCGTAATGGGAGCGATCGAGGTTGTGAAGACGCTGGCGGAGAACGGCCACGTCACCCGTCATCCCATCGAGGCCATCGTGTTCACCAACGAGGAGGGCACCCGATTCCACCGCTGGCTCATCGGCAGCCGGGCCATGGCGGGGATGCTGGAGCCGGAGGACCTGGTGGCGGTGGACGCCGAAGGTGTCTCGCTGGCCGAGCGGATGGGGGACATAGGCGGAGACCTGTCGCGGGTGAACGAGGCGGCCCGCAAGGTGGGCGACCTCGCTGCCTACTTCGAGCTGCACATCGAGCAGGGTCCCTACCTGTACCGGTCGGGAACTCCCATTGGAGTCGTCACCGGCATCACCGGCAGGGGCGTCTTTGAACTGGACATCTCCGGGATGTCCAACCACGCCGGCACCACTCCCATGGGAGAACGCCGCGACGCCCTGGTGGCGGCGGCCAGCTGGTGGTGCAGGTGCAGCGGATGGCGGCCGAGGATGAGATATGCCGCGTGGCGACCGCGGGCGCCCTGGACGTGCAGCCCAACGCGGTCAACGTGGTGCCGGGCCGCGCCACGGTGGGCGTGGAGATTCGCGACCTGGACATGACCGCGCTGGAGAACGCGGAGCGGGAACTGACCCGGATGGCCCTAGAATCCGAGGAGCAGGACGGCGTGCAGATAACCATCAATCGCCACCGCTTCACCGACGCGGTGCCCATCACGCAGGGGATGCGGGACTGGGTGGGCGAGGCCGCCGAGCGGGCTGGCTTCACGTGGGAGCTCGTGCCCAGCGGCGCGGGCCACGACGCCCAGGCGATCGCGACAATCGCGCCCATGGCCATGGTCTTCGTGCCCAGTGTGGGGGGCATCAGCCACGCCATCGAGGAGTACTCATCCCCCGAGGACTGCGCAACGCGCGCTCAGGTGCTGCTGGAGTCGCTGCTAGCAGCTGGCCGTCTGAGCGGCTGTAGCTGCTTTTCATCGGAGGAACGGGGACACACTCGTTTCTTACAACCCTAACCCTTTTTCCCTCATTCCCACCACAATCGTCTCACACTCTCCGCCTTCTACTTTATCAATTCCGCTTATTCTCCCCTCTCCTCGTACGTTTACGCAACCCAAGGGCCGCGGGCAGGAACAATCCGGCCGATATTCGAAAATTCAAGGAAACGCCATCGTGAAACTCACCGGCAGCTACCAGATTAACGCACCCCGCGAAACTGTGTGGGTCGCGATCACCGAGCCCGAGTCGCTGAAGGGCTGCATCCCCGGGTGCCAGCGCCTGGAGGACGTAGCGACGGCAACTATGAAGCGTCAATCAGCGCGTCGCTGGGTCCGGTGCGGGGAAACTTCAACGCCAAGGTGTCGATCAAGGACTGGAACCCGTACGACTCGTACCGATTGTAGTCGTCCGACACGCACACTCCGCTTCAGTCAATGCGAGCCCCATTCGTCACCGCTGACCGAGGACGGCGGCGTCACCACCGTCGTGCCGTCGACGGAGTGCGCAGCCGGGTGGGCTGCTGGCGCCGTGGGCAGCGGATGATGGAGAGCGTTCCGCGAATATGTACTGGACGCGCTTTTTGGCTGCCTTACAGAGGCGGCCACCAAGAGCTGACCGCAACGCGCAGAGAACACTTAGGAGGTTCCCGATGGAACGCAGGATTCCCACCAAGGACGAGGTGCTGGCTTACCTCAAAGACGACCGCAACTGGGGCCGCTGGGGCGACGACGACCAGATGGGGGCGGTCAATATGATCACCCAGAAAGCGCATCGAGGCCGCCGGACTGGTCAAATCGGGACAGGCCGTATCGCTCAGCCGCGATTTCCCGTCGATTCCTGCTCCCAACAACCCGACCCCGGCCATTCACTACATGAAGAAGGTTTACCGCAGTCCCACGGCCGGGTTTTCCGCCGACTACTACGGCATCTCTTATCACGGGACGGCCACCACGCACCTGGACGCCCTGTGCCACGTGTGGGACGAGAACGGCATGTGGAACGGCCGCAACCCGGATGAGCAGATAACTATGGACGGCGCCCAGTGGGGGGCTGTGCACCATTGGAACCAGGGCCTGATCACTCGGGGAGTGCTGCTGGATGTGCCAAAGCACCGCGGCGGGGCCTACGTGACGATGGATACCCCCATCCACGGCTGGGAGCTTGAGGACATCGCCAAGGAGCAGGGCGTCGAGATGCGCCCCGGCGACGCGCTGCTGGTCTACGGGGGGCGAGAGGCCTGGAACACAGACGGCAACGCGATCTGGGGCAGCAACCCCCTGGAGCGGCCCGGCCTGCACATGACCTGCCTGAAGTTCATCCGCGAGTCGGACATTTGCCTGCTGGGATGGGACATGATGGACCACACGCCCAACGGCTACGACCTCTCGTGGGCGGTGCATGGCTCCATCTTCGCCTACGGCATCGGCCTGCTGGACAACGCGCTGCTGCAGCCGCTGGCCGAGGCGTGCGCCGAGGAAGGCCGTTACGAGTTCATGCTCACCGTGAATCCGTTGCGGGTGGTGGGCGGCACCGGTTCGCCGGTCAACCCCGTGGCAATTCTGTAGCCGAACGATTGCCCTTCCCCCGAGCGGGGGTGGACGATTGGAATCCCGTCGGGACTCGAGAAACAGAGACGAAAGCTGGGCAGGTCTTGGACCTGCCCCAGTTCATTGCTACGCAGGCCATTCGGGTCACTTCTCGTCTGCGTCGGCGTCGCCCGAGCTGTAGATCGAGTTCTCGAAAGCGCGAACCTCGTGGCAGTTCCGGCACTCGCCACTGCTGTAGCGGCCACTGGCCGGCTCGATCACCCAGTGGTGACGGCAGACCGGGACCTCCTCCAGCGCGACCGCGCCCTGTGTCTGTTCTTGGAACATTGCTTCACCTCCTCATTCCCACATCGCAGAAAAAGAAAAATAATGCTGGACGGGTGGCCGTCGACCGGCGCAATTTCCCGTCCAGCAAAAGCTATCGGTTGAGGAGCGTGGTAGTCAATAATTTTGGTGGTGTTTTAGGAAAAGTTTTGTACTCACATCACCTGGTCGAACCGCACCGCTATGCGGCCAGCTCAAGTTCGGCCGCAGCCGGTGGGCCAGCGGCGGGAGCTGCGGCCTCCCGGCCTCCTCGAGGTGTGCGGCCTCCGAGACTGCAAAATACCGCCCGCACTGCACGCAGCTCAGGTATCTACCGTAGATGTCCTCTCCAACGAACAGGTCTCCGTGGCACTTGGGGCAACCGCTCAGCTTGAACATCTCTGTCCTCCATTCTTTAATTGCTGGCTTCGATTTATTTAGCGAAACGAGATAATACACGGTTGAATCTTACAGCAGTATTACGAAATGCGTGCATCCTTCCATTGCCTTGCCGTATATGGCTGTGGGCCGTAGAATGCCGGCAAGTTACCGGTGCAGGGCCTGTCCGTATTTGCAAAAGAGCAGGCCGGGAGAGGAGAGGGTAATGGCAGGACTGAACCATCCGTTGGAGAACGTCAGAGTCATCGACCTGGGCCGCCACCAGGCCGGGCCGCGCTGCGCCCAGGTGCTGGCCCGCATGGGCGCCGAGGTCATCAAGGTCGAGCGACTGGGCGGCGAGGAGACGCGCTACCACGGCCCCTGGGTCAAAAAGCAGTCCTCCTACTGGGTCCAGTACAACTCCGGCAAGAAGTCCCTCTCCATCGACCTCCGCAAGGAGGAGGGCAAGGAGGTGCTGCGGGAGCTGGTCAAGGTCTCCGACGTGGTGGTGCAGAATTTCCGCCCCGGCACCATCGAGAACATGGGCTTCGGCTACGAGGCCCTCAAGGAACTGAACCCACGCATCATCATGGTCAACGTGTCCGCCTACGGGCAGTTCGGGCCGTATAAGGACAACATCGGCTACGACCCCATCGGCCAGACAATGTCGGGGATCACCATGGTCACCGGCGAGGAGGGGATGCCGCCCATACGCACCGGAGTGCCCATCATCGACCGCATCACGGCGCTGCACGCGGCCATCGGCACGCTGGCGGCGCTGCACGAGCGGGAGGTGTCCGGCGAGGGGCAGTCGATGGACGTCTGCCTGGCCGACACCGGCTACTCGATGACCGAGATACCGATCACGGCCTATCACGGTACCAAGATACCGCCCAAGCGGGGTGAGTCGACGGCGCCGCCCTCGGGGATCTATCCCTGCAAGGAGGGCTGGGTCCTGATCTCGGCGGGGGACCAGCATCACTGGCACCGGGTGTGCAACGCCCTGGGCAGGCCGGAGTGGCTGGAGGACCCGCGGTTCAACACCCGCCACGAGCGGCTGGCCAACGCGGAGCTGGTGAACGCCGCCATCCGGGAGCTGCTGGCCGACCGGACGATGGAGCAGGCGATCGCGCATTTCACGGACCACGACGTGGTGGCGGCGCCGGTGAACACGATACCGCAGGCGGCGGAGGACCCGCACCCGTGGGAGCGCCGGGCCATGGTGGAGGTGCCGGACTTCCTGGCGGGTGAGATCGCGGTGTCGGGGGACTACTGGCACTTCTCGCGGACGCCGGTGAACATCGGCACGACGCCGCAGGTGGGGGAGCACAACGAGGAGGTGCTGCAGGGGATGCTGGGGTACAGCGAGGAGCAGATCGAGCAGTTCCGCCAGGGCCGCGTCATCTCAGAGGAACACTACTACGACGACATACCTGGGTAGCGCCGGGCTCTCTCTAACCCTCTACCAGAATGAGAGGGAACATCAGCGGCGAGAGTGTATGGGTGCACGGCTGTGCGCCCACACATGTATGTCCGTGATCCGGCCTCTCCGGTAGGTCCCGCCGGTTTGACCTTCGGGACCCATTGTGCTAATCTCGCCTCCGCCAACGTGGGATTCTCTTAGATTTATTCAGGTTCTTACAGGTTTTGCAGGCCAAACACCGTGGTTGAAGCCAGTTCAAGCAAAATGTCGGCCCAGGGTAGCGGGGATTGGCTATCGCTGGGCGACGCTTGCCGCTTGCTGGACGTTAGCGATACCACCCTGCGCCAATGGGCCGACGCCGGTCACCTGCGCGTGTACCGCACCCCAGGGGGGCACCGCCGCTTCCTGCGACAGGACGTCGAGGCCTTGACCCGAACTCCACGCCCGGCTCCGGAGCCGTTCCGCGAGGACTCGGGCGAGGCGCCGGCCTTGCGCCGCATCCGACGCCGTCTCACCCAGGACAGCGTGACGCAACAGCCTTGGTTTCAGGCCGTGGAGCCGGAGGGAAATGACCGCATGCGGCTCTTCGGGCGCCGCCTGCTCTCGTTACTCATGCAGGAATCAGGGCCTCGACGCCGCCGGCAGGAATTGCTGTCGGAGGCGCGTATGCTGGGCCAGGAATATGGTTCCGAAAATGATGGAGCGCAATGTAGCCCTGACCGACTCCGTGGAGGCCTTCGTTTTCTTCCGCACAATGGTACTGGACAGCGCGCCCGCCGCGTCCTGGTCGCGCATTCTGGAAACATCGGACCGGGTACTGGCGGGTCTTTGCGCCTCTTACCAGCACTCGTTTTCGTCCGAACGGTCTCGATAGGCGTTTCCCCTTACGATTGAATACATTCTACGGGCAGAGGGTATGACAATGGACATGATCGATCGCAAACTGCTCAACCTTATCCAGGCGCCTTTCCCCATGGTCGAGCAGCCCTACCTTGACCTGGCGGACCAGCTGGAGACCACCGAGGAGGACGTCCTCGCTCGTCTGACCGAGCTGAAGCGCCAGAACGTTCTGCGGCAGATCAGCGCCATCTTCGACACGCGGCGGCTGGGCTACAAGACCACCCTTGTGGCCATGGCATACGAGCCGGACAAGCTGCACCGGGCGGCCATGGAGATCAACCGCCATCCTGGGGTCAGCCACAACTACGCCCGCGAGGGTTCCTACTACAACCTCTGGTTCACCCTTGCGGTGCCGCCCGAGCATGACCTGGAGGCGACCGCGAATCACATGGGCCGAAAGACCGGCGCCATGGAATCGCGCATCATGCCCACCATCCGGTTCTTCAAGATAGGCGTCAACTTCGACATGGTGAAGCAGCAGGGCTCGTCCTACAACTTCAGCCCCGACGGTTTCGACAAGGCGGAGGCTGATAGCTGGAACAAGCCCCAGCCGGTCACCGACTGGGAAAAAGAGGCAATACGCGGGATGCAGGAGGACCTGCCGCTGGTCCCGCGCCCCTTCGACCCCATCGCCGAGCAGTTGGGCATAACTACGACGGAACTGTTCGCCCTTGCTGAAAATTTCCAGGGGCGGCGAATCATGCGCCGTTACAGCGCAGTGCTGCACCACCGCCGGTCCGGCTTCCGGTCCAACGCGATGATCGTCTGGAAGGTGCCGCCGGAACGCTCCGAGGAAGTGGGCATGATCATGGCGGGGCACCAGTCGGTCACGCACTGCTACGAGCGGCCCACCTTCCCCGACTGGCCCTACACCCACTTCACCATGGTGCACGCCACCACGCCGGAGGGGTGTGAGCAGTACAGCCAAGAGATCTCCGAGGCCACCGGCATCACAGACCGGCTCGCCCTGTACAGTTCAAGGGAGTACAAGAAGACCCGGGTGCGCTACTTCGTTCCCGACTATGACGAATACCTTGCGTCGGAGTCGATGGCCGACCTTGATTCGGCAGAGCTGGAAGGCGAGGAGTTCGAAGAGATGGCTCCTCTGGCGTCCTCCAGACTAACGCGACTGTCCCTGTGGGGAACCCTCCCGCCCTAGATCTCTCCCGGAGAGAGAGAAAAACGCGAGCGAAGGGAAATGACCTCGTATTACCCTGTCTACCTCAACCTGCGCGGTCGCCGCTGCGTGATAGTCGGCGGTGGAACCGTGGCAGAGGGCAAGATCAGCCGCCTGCTGGATCCGGCGCGGACATCTGCGTCGTTAGCCCCGACGCGACTCTCGGCATCCGTCAGTTTGTGGCCGACGGGGACGTACGCTGGGAGCAGCGCAAGTACGAGAAAGGCGACCTGGACGGAGCGTTCATCGCCATCGCAGCCACCAATGTCCGCGAGGTCAACCGGCGCATATTCGAGGAGGCCGAGGAGCGGGGCGTCATGCTCAATGCCGTGGACGACCCGCCCAACTGCAGCTTCATCGCACCATCCATCGTGCAGCGAGGGCCGGTTACCGTGGCCATCTCCACCGGTGGCGTCTCCCCGGCCCTGGCGCGCAAGCTGCGGGAGTCGTTGCAGACCTCCGATGCCCTCGCCTGGGCCGACCTTTCCAGCGTTATGGCGGTGGCCCGCTCGCACCTGCGGGAGGCGGGGCTGCTATCCACCATCGACCCGCAGCGCTGGCAATGCTGCATAACCCCGGAGCTGCTGGCGATGGTGCAGGACGGCCAGCAGACTGAGGCTACGGAAAAGCTTCTCGCTGGGCTGACCGGAGACGATGGCCGGGGCCTATGCCAGGACATCTCGCAGTGCCATGACGGAGGGTGCCAACTGGCCCGCGCCGGGGAACGGTCATGACCCGCAACCGGCCCATCCGCGTCGGCAGCCGGGGCAGCCCCCTGGCGCTGATCCAGGACGAAGAGGCCATCGCCCAGCTCAAGACGCACCACCCCGGGCTCGAGTTCGAGGTTGTCGTCGTCCGCACCAGCGGCGACGCCAACCAGACCTCTCCGCTGGCAGGCATGGGACTGGGCGTGTTTGTCAGCGAGTTGGAGGAGCGCCTGCTGTCCGGCGATCTGGACATGGCCGTCCACAGCCTGAAGGATATGCCGACCAAGCTGCCCGCAGGACTCACACTGGGCGCGATCCCGGAGCGCCGCGACCCGCGCGACGTCCTCGTCAACCGCTGGAATTGCCCACTGGACCAACTTCCGGAAGGGGCGCGAATCGGCACGAGCAGTCCACGCCGGGCCGCCCAGCTGCGCCGCTACGCTCCCAACGTGGAGGTCGTGCCCATTCGCGGCAACGTCGAGACTCGCCTGCGCAAAGCCGAGGGAGACGAGGCCGACGGCGCTGTACTGGCCGCCGCCGGGCTGGCCCGCCTGGGCATGGAGGACCGCGTTGCCGACTACCTTTCTCCCCAGCGCTTCGTCCCACCCCCCGGTCAGGGGGCGCTGGCCGTGGAGGTCCGTGAGGACGACCGGAGGATGCTGGATATTCTGAAGTCCATCGAGCATCCCGCCACCCGCTACGAGGTGACGGCCGAGCGGGCCTTTCTCGAGACTCTGGGCGGGGGCTGCTCCATCCCCGTAGGCGCCTACGCCCGCTGCATGGGCCACGAGCTTCTGATGACTATCTTCCTCAGCAACCCCGAGGGCTCCCGTGTCTTCACTGCCAAGGTTGATGGCCTGAAGCACGACCCGAAACAGCTCGCCGGAGACGCCTACCTCGCCGTGGCCGAGCGCGGCGGCGCCGACCTGCTCCAGGACACCCGCCAACCGCAGGGGCCACCGGCTACGGAGAATCTTTAGGTTGCCTCATTGGTATGGGCAGATTCGTTTTCCTGTGATTGATGCGGAATGAAAGGGCATATTCGTTGACTGGCAAGGTCTACCTCATAGGCGCGGGGCCCGGCGATCCCGGGCTGCTGACCGTGAAGGGCCGCGAGGCACTGGAGCGGGCGGATGTCGTTGTCTACGACCGGCTGGTCCACCCGTCGCTGCTGGACTATGCGCGCGCCTCCGCCGAGCGGGTGTTCGCGGGCAAGGCGCGCGGGCAGCAGGAGCTGACGCAGGACGGCATCAACGCGCTGCTGGTAGACAGGGCCCGCGCTGGGTTGCAGGTGGCCCGGCTCAAGGGCGGAGACCCGTTCGTGTTCGGGCGCGGCGGCGAGGAGGCACTGGCACTGGCCCGCTGCGGGATACCCTTCGAGGTCGTGCCTGGCGTATCGTCAGCCATCGCTGCCCCAGCCTATGCAGGCATCCCGGTAACCCACCGCGGCATCGCCACCGGGTTCACCGTCGTCAGCGGCAGCGAAGACCCGTCCAAGCCCGAGTCGTCGGTGCGCTGGGAGGCGCTGGGGCGTTCACTGGCCGCCCAGGGTGGCACCCTGATGACGCTGATGGGTTGGGCATCCATGGAGAAGATTCTGGAGGCTCTGCAGTGCGCAGGGCTGTCCGCCGACACGCCCGTTGCATTGGTGCAGTGGGGCACCTGGAGCAGGCAGCGCACCGTGACCGGCACGCTGGCCACCGCTGCCGCCAAGGGCCGGGCCGCCGAGCTGGCCGCGCCGGTGGTGGCGGTCATCGGCGAGGTGGTGAACCTGCGCGAGGAGCTTGCCTGGTTTGATAACCGACCGCTGTTCGGCAAGCGCGTGCTGGTCACCCGTTCCCGTACCCAAGCCTCGCGGATGTGCGAGCTGCTGGAGGATGCGGGAGCCCAACCGGTGGAGTTGCCGGCCATCGCCATCGCTCCGCCGGACGACTTTGCCCCGCTGGACGATGCCGTCGCGCGCCTGTCCTCCTACGGCTGGGTTATGTTCGCCAGCGTCAACGCCGTGGATTCAGTTTTCGATCGACTGGAATCATCGTCTGTCTCCCGCCCGCCCAGGGATGCCCGCGCTTTCGGCACCGCCCGCGTCGGGGCCATGGGGCCTGCCACGGCGGCCGCGCTGGAACGGCGTGGCATCCGTCCCGACTTCACGCCATCCCGGTCCGTGTCGTCTGCGGCCCTGGAGGAGCTGGCGACCTTTGATTGGAGCGACGTATCCGTTCTGCTACCAGCCGCCGACATCGGCCGAGACGAGCTGGCGGAGGGGCTGTCCCGCCTCGGAGCCAGCGTGGAGCGCGTAGCGGCCTACCGCACAATCACGCCACCCGACGCGGCACAGCGGGCGCGGGACGCCTTTTCCGACGGCATCGACATTGTGACTTTCACCAGCTCATCCACAGTCCGCAACCTGCTGGCCCTGCTGGAAGAAGACAACGGTCCCGGCAGGAACGCCCTGACCGGAAGCCTTATCGCCTGCATCGGCCCCGTAACCGGCGGCACGGCCCACGAGATGGGGCTGCGTGTGGACATCCAAGCCGAGGAACACACTGTTGACGGACTGGCTGCAGCCCTGATCAAACATTATTCGACCACAGACCCCATACGCGCCGCTATTTGAAAATGCCTCTTTGGATTTGCGTCCTGAATGGTGAACTGGAGGAGTAGAGCCATGACCAGCTACAGCGGATATCCCGAGACCCGCCTGCGCCGCCTGCGCGGCAGCGACCCGCTGCGGAACCTGGCCCGGGAGACCCGTCTCTCGCCAAAGGAGTTCATCTACCCGATGTTCGTGATGCACGGCCACGGGATGCGCGAGCCCATCGAGCCGATGCCGGGCTGCCACCAGGTCTCGCTGGACGTGATGTCCGAGGAAGTGGGCGAGGCGGCCGAACTGGGCATCGGCGGCGTGCTGCTCTTCGGCCTGCCCGCCGAGAAGGACCCGCTGGGCACTGAGGGCTACGATCCCGAGGGCATCGTGCAGGAGGCTGTGCGCACCATCAGTCGCGCGACACCAGAAATGCTGGTCATCACCGACGGGTGGCATGTGTCGAGTAACATCACCGACCACGGCCACTGCGGGGTGATCGACAACGGCCGCATCGACAACGACGCCACGCTGGAGCTGCTGGCCCGTACGGCGCTGTCCCATGTGCAGGCCGGCGCCGACCTGCCAGCGCCGTCGGCCATGATGGACGGCCAGGTGTGGGCCATCGCCAGTCGCCTCGATGCAACGGCTACGACGACACGCCGATAATGGGCTACGCGGCCAAGTTCGCCTCGGCATTCTATGGCCCCTTCCGCGTCGCCGCGGGCTCCACACCCCAGTTCGGCGACCGCAAGACCTACCAGATGGACCCGGCCCACTCGCGCATGGCCATGCGCGAGATCGAGAGTGACATTGCCGAGGGCGCCGACATCGTGATGGTCAAGCCGGCCATGGCCTACATGGACGTGATCCGCGAGGCCCGCGAGCGCTTCAACCACCCGCTGGCCGCCTACAACGTCAGCGGCGAGTACTCGATGGTCAAGGCCGCCGCCCAGAACGGCTGGGTTGACGAGCGTCCGGTCACCACCGAACTCCTGACCGGAATCAAACGCGCCGGGGCCGACATCATCATCAGCTACTTCGCCAAGGACGTCGCCCGCTGGGCACAGGGGTAGACCATCGTCAATCTGTCCCTACCACAGTCTGCTTTCCCTTTCGTGAGACGGTCAGGGTGATGGCGTCTCCCTGCATCCACGACGAAATTTTGACAGCCAGGAACAGCCATGCAGCTCGCCAAGTCCGAAGCACTGTTCGCCGAAGCCCAGCGCCTGATGCCCGGTGGCGTCAACAGCCCCGTGCGGTCCTTCCGCGCAGTCACCGGCACGCCGCCGTTCATCGCGTCTGGTAGCGGCGCCCGCGTCGTCGATGTGGACGGCAACGAATACATCGACTATCTTGGGTCCTGGGGGCCGCTGGTTCTCGGCCACGCCCACCCGTCGGTGGTGGCGGCCCTGACGCGGGCCGCCCAGAACGGCTCCAGCTTCGGCGCGCCGGTTGAGCAGGAGGTCGACCTGGCCCGGCTGATCACCGGAGCCTTGCCCAGCATCGAGTCGCTGCGGCTGGTCAACTCCGGCACAGAGGCCTGCATGAGCGCCATCCGGCTGGCCCGGGCCTTTACCGGACGCGACAAGATCATCAAGTTCGCCGGCAACTACCACGGCCACGCCGACGGCCTGCTGGTCCGCGCCGGCTCGGGTGGCCTGACTCACGGAATACCCACCAGCGCCGGGGTTCCCGAGTCCTACGCCAGAGAGACGCTGGTGGCGGATTTCAACGACCTGGACTCAGTGGAGCAGCTGTTCAACAACTACCCCGGCGCCATCGCCGGGATCATAGTAGAGCCGGTGGCCGGGAACATGGGCGTGGTGCCACCCGCGCCCGGCTTCCTCGAGGGGCTGCGCCGCGTCACCGCCCACGACGGCGCGATGCTGATCTTTGACGAGGTGATCACCGGCTTTCGAGTCGGCGCAGGGGGAGCACAGGGGCTGTACGGGGTAATGCCCGACATCACCACCCTGGGCAAGATCATCGGCGGAGGGCTGCCCGTAGGATGCTACGGTGGGCGGCGGGAGATCATGGAACGCGTGGCCCCGCTGGGCGACATGTACCAGGCGGGGACTCTGTCTGGGAACCCGTTGGCAGTCAGCGCCGGCGTCGCCACGCTGACCGAGCTGCAGAAGCCCGGCGTCTACGAGCAGATCGACCGGCTGGCTGCCCGCCTCACCGACGGCATCAGCGCCGCCTTCAGCGCCGCCGAGGTCCCGGGGACGATCAATCGAGTCGGCTCCATGTTCACAGGGTTCTTCAATCCCGGCCCCGTGGATTCCCTGGCGCAGGTAGAGCAGTCGGACGCCGCCCAATACGGCCGCTACTTCCACGCCCTGCTGGAGCGCGGTGTCTACACCGCCCCCTCCCAGTTCGAGGCGGGCTTCGTCTCCACCGCCCACACCGAGGCAGACATCGACGCCACCATCGAGCGGGTGCGGGAGGCGCTGGCGGAGTTGGGGTAGTAGTCAGTTATAATTAATGCGACGTTGCCGGAGCTGCAAACTACACTAATAAGATAAATAGAGAGAATATGATCGCCGACAACGAGGTTGCGGATTACGCAGCCCAAGCCCGCGAGTTTCTGAGTAAGAGCCGAACTTTTCTGGCTGCCGGCGACCTTCATCAAGCATCGGAAAAGGCTGGGCGCAGCGGCTCACATGGCCAAGTCTGTTGCCGTTGCCCAAGGCTGGGAGTACGGCAATCATGCGGATTTCAGCGATATGCTTTACCCCGAATCCACCGATGGACGGCGTGAGGACGCCGGAAGGGGGGTG